AAAAAAAAATAAAAAAAAAGAAAAATTACCTGTAATACTACCAGCCAGACAAAATCAGTATTAACCTCTTGTGCCATTTCTAGCCAGGTCTCTGTCTGTGTACATATATCCCAGGCCCTTATTTTTTTTTTTTTATAGAGACAGAGTGTCACTTTGTTGCCCTTAGTAGAGGGTGCTGTGGCATCACACAGCTCATAGCAACCTCCAACTCCTGGGCTTAAGCAATTCTCCAACCTCCCGAGTAGCTGAGACTACAGGCGCCTGTCACAACGTCTGCCTATTTTATGGTTGCAGTTTGGCCGGGGCCAGGTTTGAACTCACCACCCTTGGTATATGGGGCTGGCACCCTACTCACTGAGCCACAGGCGCCGCCCCCCAGGCCTTTTTTCTTATCTTCAGATACTCTTTGAAAACATGAAATTTTTTAGAATGGATGCACATGGATATATCATAATTTATTCAAGCATTCCTCACTACTGGATATTTAAAATGATTTCCTATTATTTTACAGTTCTAAATTATGCTGAGATATAAATAAACCTTTATCTGAAATTATTATGTATATTAGAAATTAATTTACCTCTTGGGTGGGAAAACTTTTCTTTCCATCATCTGGAAACACTGATGCCTTTTCTTCCTTCACAGTTTTTAAGGATGCCAGCCGGTGACGCGCCTGTCTCCTAGTTTGACTAAGCTGTCAGGGAAAGAAAAGCAAAAAGCAAACAAAAACAGGTTAAAGTCTTTCTTTTTTGTTCAGTTTTTTAAAATTGATGTTTCATATATTTCTGGGGTTCTTGCATTGTCACATGCATAGAGTGTGTAAGGGATATTTGGGGTATCCATCATCTTGAGTACTTATAATTTCTGTGTTGGGAACATGTTAAGCCCTCTCTTCTAGCCACTTTGAAATATTCAATATTGTTGATCACTATAGTCACCCTAGTCTACTATCACTAGAACTTATTTCTTCTATTCAGCTGCATGTTTGTACCCAGTAACCAACCTCTCTTCATCCCTACTCACACACTCTTTCCAGCCTCTGGCATCTATCATTTGGTTCTCTCAGGCTGAAGTCTTAATACTATGTGCACTAAGTGTTCCAACAGGAAAACAGGTCCCTATTATTAAAAAATGCCAGACCTAAGACAAGATTACTTGCAAAGGATATTCTGATCTGCTGATAGTGTTGTACATTACTGTCATTCTTAGAGACTGCACTTCATAATTTGATTTAAAGGTTGTTATTCAAATCAGTTTTTATAACCAGAATATAAAGAACGAATACATAAATGAACATAAATGAATTAATACATTTGGAAATTATTGAGCAGACACATTGGCTACCTTGTATCCAAATCTTCAACAAAGAGTTACTTCTTCAACTGGTCCTTATATGCTTAACTGCTTTCATCACTTCTTGCAGGAAGACTATTTCTAGCTTTCTTTTTTCCTTTTATTTACACAAGTCCCTTCGCCACCCTCAATATTTGAAGACTTACAGCTACTTAGTCTTTTCCCAGCTCTCCACATCTCCAGGAAGCCTTCCTAAATTAACTCAGAACAGAAACTCAAACATCTCAACAGAACCAATTTGTTTCAACTAATCTGAGTAACAACTAATAAATGACTATTAATACTAAATATGTTGATTTTGTGTCCATTTTTATCGCTAATAATTCCAGCATGCACCTATTTTGATTACTTTTTCAAAAAAGTACAACCTATTTTACATTTCACAAATACGCAAACAATGTCCCATTAGGGGAAAGAAAGAAACTCTGTATTTGCTAGGATATGCCCTGCATGGTGTGGAGGAAAAACATCCCCACACTACTCAGTGAAATTATGGTAAAGCCAGGACCGCTTCTAACTAACTCATTCATTGAAAGTTTAATGATATCAACTATCTCTTGAAGGGAAATGATGACAATGACTTAGAGATAGAAGTAACAAATAATACTTGATGATTTTTACTAATAAAAAGCTAGTGATAAAAACTCTTTCATTGGGCAGCCCTGGGGCTCAAAGGAGTAGGGTGCTGGCCCCATATACCGCAGGTGGTGGGTTCAAACTGAGCCCTGGCCAAAAGCTGCAAAAAAAAAAAAAAAAAACCTCTTTCATTACCAGCCCAGTTTATGTGTGTGTGTTTAAAAAACAGTACATCACCTCTGCACTGTCCTTGCTTCTAGAAGTCTGCTATACATCGAACCAGAGAAATCAGCTCAAAATATATTACTCTCTTTGTTCTGCCAAGAGGAGGACTTCTAGATTTGTTTAGCTGAAGAACAGCTAAAAGGGTCAAGATAGAGTTATTCACAATGCAAAAAGAGATACATATGTAATCCAAGTTATATAAACCAAACAGAGCCCTGAAAATAGCTGTTTTTATTTTTTACTAAGTATGGCAGGTGTTCATGCCCCATACTATATGACCAAGGATTCAAAATCCCCACTGTGGCCAGAACAGTGGCTCATGCCTATAATCTCAGCACTCTGGGAGGCCAAGGAGGGTGGATCACTCGAGTGTAGGAGTTCGAGACCAATCTGAGCAAGAGTGAGACCTTATCTCTACCAAATATAGAAAAACTAGCCAGGCACTGTGGTGGGCACCTATAGTCCCAGCTACTCAGGAAGCTGAACCAAGAGGATCACATTTGAGCCCAAGAGTTTGAGGTTGCTGTGAGCTATGTCACCATGGCACTGTACCCAGGTGACAGAGTGAAAGTCTGTCTCAAAAAAACAAAAACATTCCCATTGCAACAAATTTAAAACAGGAGTTTACAATCTTCACTGCCCCATCAAATCCAAACATCTATTATAGCTAAATTTATTATAGTCCTTAAGGAGGATATTTCAACTGGTCCAGGAACTGAAATATGCATGTTAGTTTTGTTTCTCTGTTGTTACCATAACCCTTCACCAACCCTCAACTCATGAGGGCTATAGTAGGCAGAATAACGGACACCCAAAGGTACCAGGTCCTGATACCTGGAACCTATAAATATTACTTTATAAGGAAAAAGTGCCTTCCCAAGTATATTAAGTTAATAATCTTGAGATGGGGAGATAAAACTGGATTGTCCATATGGGCCCTAAATACTACCACAAATGACCTTATAAGAGAAAGATAGAGGGAAATTCAACATACAGAAGAAGAAACAGTAATGTGAAGATGACAGGCAGAGACTGATGTGGTACAGTCACAAGCAAAAGAATGCCAGCAGACTCCAATCGCTGGAAAATCAAAGAACAAATATTCCCCTAGAACCTGTGGACAAAGCATTGCACTCCTGACACCCTGATTTTGGTTCAGTGAAACTGATTTTTTACTTCTGGTCTCCAGAGCTGTGAAAGAATAAATTTTGATCATTTTTAAGCCATTAAGTTGAGCTAATTTGTTATAACAGCCATAGGAAACTAATACAAAGACCAAAGTTAATAAAGAATTAAACAAAAACATAGAAAATAGAGGGATATTACAAATAAAATTACATAATAATTAAAAGGAACATATATAAGTAATTTCTCTTATTGTAAGATACCGATGTAAGTATGTGTATGGTATGTGTTACATACGTGTACATATTTATATATTTCAGCATACATATTCTATATGTGTATGTGCTGTATGTGCATAAATATGCAAAATATGAAATTTGGCCACAGTTTTTTTAATACTAGAACCTTAGGCACACTAGTCATTTTGCAGCTGTTGATTGTTATTAATAATGAAGACTAGCACTAAATCTCTGGCCAAGACTTAAAGATTTCCCGGAGGGAGATGAATTACTCATAATTGCAGAGAAAGCCTAACAGACAAAAACTCAATATAATTATAACTCCAGATAAAACAAAAAAAAAATACATAGAAGGAAAAGTAATCATAGTTTACTTCTGACTCAGTTGGGACTAGTGTTCACATAGTCATAACAATATAAATGATGAATATGGATCTAAGTGAAATTACAACATAACTATAAAAAGAGGGTGGGGTGGAAGGAATACACGTGTAGTTGTAGCAGGAGATAGAAAGAGGGCTAAATTCTCGTCCTTCCTAGTGGGACTCAATAAAAATGTCTAATTTTTTTTTTTTTAATCAACAAGGAGCACTATAAGCACATTACTTAGAAATACCAATTAATACCAAGAGAAAACTAAAATAATTCAAGTAGTTGCTTTTGAGGAGAAAGAAATGAGGAAATGGGCAAAATACTTCTGTTTTTTAATTATAAACATTGCTACACCTATTTATTTTACTTGTTTAAACTAGGAACATATATAATTTTAATAAAACCGTAAGCATAAAGAAGGAAAAAAAAGATTCCCTGACAATTTCCCTCAAAAAGCTTCCTGTCCATGAACCACATAAGCATACAGATGCATTTTGGGGTTCTCACATTGCATATATGTACATGTATCACACTTTAGGAACACTGTAGAAAACATGGGCCTAAATTTTCTTCCATCCAGTAGAAAAACCATTGCCCTCCAGACTATATTCCAGATGTACCAGACAAACAATCAGAGTATCTTCCAAGGAAACCTGCAATGCCCATAAGCCCTAACAATGGGACAGTCTTTGGTAGCCTCCTCCCTAGCCTTCACTGATTGAAGCAGAGTTACCTAATAGTATATCGGATTAATATAGGTCTTGATGCAACGTCTTCTGCATACAAAAAAAAAATGAATTTTGCACACAGAAATATAACTTTTTAACAATCAGCAAAGGAAACTGGGCACAGTGATGTGTGCCTGTAGTCCCAGCCTCTCAGGAAGGTGAGGTAGGAAGACTGTTTGAGCCCAGGAGTTCAAAGCCCAGCCTGAGCAATATGGCAAGAAACACCCATCTCCAGACCAAGACCTAACGCAAAAAGACAAGCTGGGCCCATAAAGATTCCTAAACTCAGATAATGAACTAAAAATTATTCAGAGAAAAGTCAATGACAAGACCTAAAAGGTTCCTAAAATATAGAAAAGATGCTGAAGGAGCCTCAAGTATACCAAAGTTACAAAGCTACAAAGAGAAGAGAATAGTAGTTAATAGTAGTAGAAAAATGAGAAAATTAGAGAGAAGCACACATGTTCCCAGTCTGCCTCTCCCAGTTTGCCTGTCCCAGTTTCCCAGTTTGACCATTCAAAGTCTCACAACTTGGGAAACCCCTCAACCTTAAGCAAACG